GTGGTAGATTGCATGAATATATTTTATACTGCTATCTTACAGTCCTGGAATAAACTATTTGATCATAGTTTCTTTTTAAAGCTTTGGCATTTTCTTTTGCTTTGCCAGTATTTATTCAGGATTTTTACATATTCATTCAAAGTGAGATTGGCCAGTTATTTTTCTTTTTAAAAAAATTATTTATTTTTTATGTGTATGAGTATTTTGTCTGCACGTATGTAAGTGCGCCACATGTGTACGGTGCCTGTGAAGACCAGAAGGGGACATCAGATGCCCTGGAACTGGAGTTATGGACAGTTATTAGCTGCATGTGGAAACTAAACCTGGGTCTTCTGCAAGAACAGCCAGTGCTCTTAACCACTGGGCCATGTCTCCAGTTCGCAGTAACTTTTCTTATTAGTACTATCTGAAATGGCAAAGCTGACTCCATTTTGTTCTGACTTTTGCTTTACCTTGTGTTTTTGCCCAGCCACTCCCACTGAAGTCAGCCAGTCATAAAGGTTGTACCTGTAGTTTCAGGGAATCCATCATTTCTACAATACTGGGAAATTTACAACTAGCCCAGTAGGATGCCCTCTTATCTAGCTATACCTACATCTCCGTGGAGCCCATTGTTTCTGCAATACTGAGAAATTTGTTTTTCCTAACTAAAACTTTTTGTTAACTGAAAACCTCTTTCTGAACTGACTTGTCCCTGGTCTATATAACTATAGTGATCTGATGTAACTATGGCTATTGGCTCTGCCTCTAGCATGATATAATTATAGTTTTAGGTTTTATAAACCCCATTCTGCCTCCCCTTGAGGTCAAGAGTTCTTTTGGGTGCCAGCCCCCTGCTGACTGCTGGCTAATAAAGGACTCTTGATCAGACCATCGGTATGTGGCATTCCTCTGGCCTCACAGTGTACACTATGTCAAATTCTAACATAAAACTATGCTTCTCTCATGGAATTGTATGAGCTGACTGAGAAAACTGCATCATTCACTTCTTGGCGTTCTCACTTTTTAGCCTTGTAAATGTTACTTCATCTTTTCACATATTTGAATAAGTTATTTTTTCTTGAAAATTGTCTATTTTTATTATCTAAAGTTAATCATAATTTTATCTTAACTTTAAAAAAATGTGCTCTGTAATCAAAAACTAACATTGCATTCTAGCTATAGAACATGGGTAAGTGCTACTATTTCTCATGGATTTGAAACCATTTGCTTTATGATATAATATAAGGTGAAACATAACAGTGAAAAGATTTCACATGTCCCTGGAAAGAATATTTACAGGGTTCTTTGTTCTATATATTGCTCAAAGAATCTATGTTCTTATTAATATCTTGTCTGCTATATTCATCAGTTACTAAAGTGATATATAAAATTTTATCATGGTTAAAGACTTGCCAAGTTTTCCTTACAAGCTTGCCAATTCTTGTTTTAAATGTATTATGGTTTAAATACAAGAATGTTTACTAAATAGGGCAATTAGAGCTACCAGTTCTCAATCTTTAAATATATATGGTTTAGTTTCTAGATACATATTGGTTTAGGATTGTTGTAACTTCTTTGAAAATTTATACTTTTATCATTATTTAGTAATCCTCTTTATACTAGTAACAATGTTTTTGATTGTAGGTCTGTTTCTGCCCCACACCTATACCCAGAGGTAACCCCAATTTCCTGGTAACTTGTGGCGACTCTGATGGAGTGCCCCAAAACTTCCAGTTACAAATGCATATCAATTTCAGAAAGCATAATCTTCAGGAACGATAAAATTGGAAAGCCATTAGCAGGATTAGGAAGAATGAGCTGAGCAGGGGTGTAGACAGAATCCACCATAGCTTGATATACTGGGATTCTCTACAGATTTCTCCACTCTCAAGGCAACAGGGCAGGCCTTTGGTAATCCTGTGTCAGTCACTGAGAGCAGTGCCTAAGTTTTCTGGAAAGGTGGCTCCTAGCAGCTGAAGGCAATTCTTTGGCACTTTTAGCAGTGGACAGCCACAACAGCTGAAGGAGGAGGTGGGTAGTGGGGTATGCTGGCAGGGCACAAAAGCATCAACTTGATTTTTGCTAACATGCTCTCTATAAAAATGGTGGCAGCATAAGAAGTTATCACTGTGTCATGATATGTTTGAAAATCACATGACAGAAAAAGTTAACCTTGCTGTCAACACTTTTGCCCTTTGGTACTTTCTACTTTCTGAAATTTCTTACAGTTGGAACTCAGGTTGGGAAGGAGAAATCAGTCACGTGAGACCTTCGAGGGGTTTTCTGTTTTGTTTTGTTGTTGCCATTGTTGTTTTTGTTTTGAGTCAGGATCTCACTCTATAACTCTGGCTGACCTCAAAGTCATGGCAATCCTCCTGTGTCAGCTGAGATTACAAGCGTGAATCACCACAGCCGGCTAGATTACCTTGACTGAGCACCTACATGTACTCAAATCATGCTAAATACTATTAAGAATAAAAAGAAAGGGGCTTGAGAGATGGCTCAGCAGTTCAGAGCACACACTGCTCTTCTAATAGGACCTGAATTCAATTCCCAGGAAGCTCGTTGGGCGGCCCGCAATCACCTATAACTCCAGCTCCTGGGGGATCCAACACCTCTGACTTCTGTGGTCACTGCTCTCACATGCCCATATGCACACACAGGCACTCACGTATACATACAAATAAAAATAAATTTTAAAAAGCTTTTAAAAATCTTTTAAAGACTAAAAAGAAATGCAAAATGATACTTCTATAGGTCAGGATGTTTTTTAGGAAGAAAGATTTACATATATATAATATATATATAAATGATGAAACATAATAGCATTGAATCAGGTGTGTCCTATAGAGGATTTCAGAGAAAAGATTTTAAATTCTAGTAAAATGCTTATACTATAACCTTGAGTAACGATGCTTAATATCTGAACTCACTTAATGAGCAGGATTTGAAAGAATCTCTGCCAACGGGTAGAAGGAAATAACAATGACAAATTATCCTAAGGAATATAAACGCAAAGATAAAAAGAAATGTCGATTATATTGTGTTGCTGTGCAGCAGGTTTTATTATGCAAGAGTGGGAAGGGAAAGTCACATTTGCCCCCACACTGGTTTCCCTGGTGCAAGTGAGTATTGTTCTGTACTGGGTGGCGGGGTTAGAAATATTGCCAGAGAACAAGTACACAGAGTTGTTATGGAAACTAGAATGCATCAACTCAAAGTTTACAAAGAACTTTCAGAGCTATTTAGTATAATCAACTCTTTTTTTGTTTGTTTGTTTTGCTTTATGCTAGTGTACCCTAAGTAAGGCTCTATTTTTTTATTAATTCTTTGATAGGCTGTACTCGAGTAAATAAGAATTCAAGACTCGGGAGATAATGATGACATCACCAAAGTGTGATTTGTGTGGAAGACCTTTGTTCTATGTGTCTGAAGCTTGTTCACACTTGCCTCAACCATTGTCGAGTATGCTGGTTTCTGTAATAGAATATTGAGGTGGCTGTTGACTAACTTCAGAGAGAAACATTTCCTGCTGTGCGGCCCAGTCCTGGGCTGCTGTGGCTGTCTCTTCACATGCTTTTAAATCGCCAGAGTCTAGACACGGACAGTGGCCCCTGGCCACCAATTTTGTCCTTAATTGTGAACTGGAATTTTTCTATCAGAATTTTTGAAAAAGATTTTTGCTTTATTTGTCTTGTTCTTAAGAAGGTAATTGCATGATGAGGATTTTCGTAGCCTTTGAAGGATCTTTTGAGCCATTTGATGTGTCGGCAGATGAATCTGTGCAAACTGTCAAGCTGATGATAAAGGTATGTGCTTGATCCAGGGTCATTAAGACCCCGAATTTAAGTATGCAGTACAGTTTAAAATGTACACAGGAGAGAGATACTATTGGGTATATTTTCAACATACAAGGAACAAATTTTTTTAAGTATTACTATTTATTTACATGTTAAATTGATAAGAATATGGCATATTTGGAGATGTTAGGTAAGAAAGCAAACTGATCCAGTAAATTCTTAGGGGACAAAACAAGTTTTACTTCTCTTTAGTGAATTCATGGGTTGTCACTGTGTCCAGTAGTATTACTGCAATTATTCATAAAAGGACAAAAACATGGGGCTGGCGAGATGGCTCAGCAGTTAAGAGTATGTACGACTTTTGCAGAAGACATGAGTTCGGTTCCCAGCAGCCAGATCAGGTGGTGCACAACTTCCTGTAACTGCAGCCCCAGGTGATGCAACATCACTGGTATCCACAAGCACCTGCACTCACATACACATAGACACACACATACACATAATTAAAAATAAAACAGGTAAACTGTTTTGAAGGGGGGTCACATGTCCTGGGGCCTCAGTGCTGTGCCTTTTATAGTCAGATGTGGAGTCGAATTCTGCCCTCCCTGATTGTGTCCGTGCTTCTTCGGGATATGTGTAGCAGACCTCTAGCTCATAGAGCATGTGTCTTGTCCCAGAAAAACTTTAGAAGCTAGTTTTTAATAGAGATGCCATTTTAGAGACTGGAAAGTTTTTAGACTCTTATACAGTGATTTATTTATTTATTTATTTATTTATTTATTTATTTATTTATTGGTATTTTCGAGATAGGGTCTCCCTGTAGTCCCAGCTGGCCTGGAACTCACTATGTCGACCAGGCTGGCCTTGAACTCACAGAGATCTGCCTTCCTCTGCTTCCAGAGTGTTGGGTCACCACGCCCAGCCTAGTAAACCTTTTTTTAAAAAACAAAAGCATGACACTAACTTTAGTCCCTGCAAGTGGAGTATACCAGTTATCTGATAAATGCCTTGATTGGTGAACAAGAAATATAAAGAACCAAAGGAGGGGAGGGATGGCTCAGCAGTTAAGAGCACTGACTGTTCTTGCAGAGGACCTAGGTTTGATTCCCAGCACACAAATGGTGGCTTACTGTCAATGCACTCTTCTGACCTCTGCAGGTATTGCATGACACAGGTGCATCTATCTACATGCAAGCAATACACTCATACATATAAAATAAAAATAATAAGCAAAAAAGATATTTTAAGGACCAAAGGATTTTGGAGCCAGAGAAGATAGGAGAGAACTTGTGGATTTCAACTTCATTTTGTATTCATATAGTACTAAGGCTCAGAGAGGATATCTTCTCTAGGATCACACTGCCAGAATAAGAAATAATTTGGGTAGAGAATTTCCCTTCTGGCTTTCTTATAAATATTCTTTTAAAAATAAAAACAGGCAAAATATTTAGTTTCTGGACATCAAATATTTATCCATCAAATATTTACCGTTATCTGTCATGGATCCATTTGGAAGTCTGGTGAAGATTATTAATCCCCTCTCAGAGGGTTCTTAAATGCATAAAATAACACATGTACGACCCTTCTGGCTTTCTTATAAATATTCTTTTAAAAATAAAAACAGGCAAAATATTTAGTTTCTGGACATCAAATATTTAATTCAGAGGTAGTCATTCCTATTTGTTGAGCCATTGTTAATATTTGGTATATTACTGTGATCTGGATAGAGTATAGGAGATCTTACCGTTATCTGTCATGGATCCATTTGGAAGCCTGGTGAAGATTATTAATCCCCTCTCAGAGGGTTCTTAAATGCATAAAATAAAACATGTACGATAAAAGAGTATAGTGGTGCCTGCCTGTAACCCTAGCACTCTGGAAGCTAAGGCAGGAGGAGTAGGAGATTGAAGTCAGCCAGAGCTACAGAGAAAGACCCTGTCTCAAAGAAAACACAAAAAGAAACCGATTGAATTGAAACACAGTTTTCAAATAATAAAAATCAAGTTTATAGTTGGGTATGGTGGTACATACCTTCAATCCTAGCACTTGGGAAGCAGAAGCAGGTGAATCTTTGTGAGTTCTAGGCTAGTTAGGGCCACATAGTGAGACCTTATCTTGAAAAAACAAGAACAAACAAAAAGTTAAGTTTGTGATACAGTAACATGTAACACAGAGTTTGTATTAGTACTAGCTAATAAGCTCTGGCAACGCATTGAGCGACAATTATACTTTCAAAGCTGTGATAAATACATAATATTCTAATATTTTAGTATAATATTCTAAGCAAAAATATATCTGCAACATGAAAATGTCTGCGATTTTTAATTAATAGCAAAGCCGTAGGTATAGCTGCTGACTGCTACTTTAGAACACATATTTAACTTAACATTTAATAAAAACAAAGATGCATTTTTCCCACTTAGGTTCTATTCATAAACTTTAGGAGAGGTCTGTAGGGTCAGAGCTAAGAGCCTTGTCCAATGTCCCTTCTCTTTGTTCTAAAACAATTCCTTTTTATTTCTTTCTTTTTATGTGTATGAGTATGTATTTGAGTGCACTCATGCCATGCAATTCCTACAGAGGGCAGAAGAGGGCGTCGGAGGATCCCCTAGAACTGGAGTTACCACGTGAGTGCTGAACTCTGGTCCTCTGCAAGAGCAGCCAGTGCTCTTAACTGCTGAGCCATCTCTCCAGCCCTCTGTTCTAAAACGATTATGATGTGAAGTAGGAAAGCAGAAAGAGGAGGGAAGACAGGAGGAATGGGGAAGGGAAATGCTGTGTTTTTGGCTAGTAATACAGTAATACATTTTTCATAAAATGCTATTGATCTTCAAGGATTATTTCCACATTCCTCTTTCTGAAGACAGACAAGGCAGGAGGTATCTGGAGCTTATGTATGCTGGAGCTGCGCTGAGGAACAGTTGGAGTTTGTCTGATATTGGAGTATCTTTCTGTTCAACTCTCAAATGCTTTGTTAAGGTATGATTATCAGAACAACACTTTCCCAAGATGGCTCTCTCACTTTGAATTAAGCTGTGGATAACTCAACTAAACTAGTTCGTAACTTAGAAAAATATTTTCTTGAGCTGGGGTTGTGGTAGTGAATGCCTGCAATCCCAGCACTTGGGAGACAGAGGTAGGAGGCTCATGAGTTTAAGGCTAGCCTAGGCTATGCAGTAAGACCCTACCAAAAAGAAAGGAGAGAAAAGAAAAGGGTTTTCTTTTCTTGTTTTCATTTTTAAGATTTATTTTTATTTTTTTAAAATTCTGTGTGTGTGAGTGCAAGTGCCAGCGGAAGCCAGAGGCATCGGACCCCCTTAGACTTGGAGTTACAGGTGGTTGTGAGCTGCCTGATGTGGATGCTGGGAACCAAATTTGGATCTTCTGCAAGAGTAGAACACACTCTCAGTGGCTGAGTCATCACTACAGTCCCTCTTGTTTTCCTCTCTCTTCCATTTGTACAAATGGCCTTATGCGTGCTTCATGAATGCAGGGACAGTAAGACGTGGAGACAGAGCTCTCCCTTGTCCGCTGTCTCCCTTTCTCTCCTGATCCCCTTTGCCGTCTTCCCTATCACATCATCAAAGAGCTCACCATAAACTAGCAAGTCTAAGAGGAAGCACTGAAGTGTCAGTACAAAGTGAAGAGGATTAGGTCACTTCCATGGCCAACAATGATGAGGGCAGTGGGGTGAGAAAGGAGAAACTCTCAGCAACAATAAAGGTGATGGGGCAGTGTCTATTTCTAAATCCAACCAAAGTGGCCATCTGGGTTAGTGAACAAGTAAGGAACAGGTCCTTGTCCATCCTCAGTGTGTCCTTAGTCAGTGGTGTATTAACTGGGATGCTTGGCTGAGCTTTAAGAACTTTACAGAGCTCTTGTAAAACAAGATTTTTCTGGAGTCACTATCTTTAAAATTTCAACCGTTTTAAAATGGAGCAAGTGACACAAAGATTTTAAGAACTTTTTCTAGGGTTGAAATGCTTTCTGTGCTCTTTCTTTACCCCATAAGAAAGCAAGAACTCTCATTCTTTAAATGAGACACTTATTTTCTCATGTTTAGCATTAAGATTTTTTATTATAGTAAAAATTAACTCTTAATGTGCTTAAATGATTAACTAAATGTATGTTTATAAGGATATTCTCCCAATATTAAGTAGCAAAGGTAGTTGGGTGTGGAGGTGCACGCCTTTAATCCCAGCACTCGGGAGGCAGAGGCAGGCAGGTCTCTGAGTTCAAGGCTAGCCTGGTCTACATAGTGAGTTCCAGGCCAGCTAGGGCTATAGGGAAACCCTGTCTCAAAAACACCAAAAAAAAAAAAAGTAGCAAAGGTATGTCATAAAATGGTCAGTACTGCATAATTCCATTTATATAAAGACTACATTTATATAATTTCATGTTTTTGAGCATTTATTCATACATTCTTTATATTTTGAATAATGTTTAATTGTCAAAAATGAAATTAAAACAGCTATTTTTTCCCTAATTTTCTTTCTCTAGTACTCAGAAAAATACTTTAAAATCAAGCAAAGTATGCCAAATTTTATATATATGTGTGTGTGTGTGTGTGTGTGTGTCTATATATAAAGTGATAGGATACACACATATATGTATAAAGTGCTAAGATAAAAGTATATACCACTACAGTCAGCTTCTTTGACATGTCCTAAATGGCTTCTCTCTGTGTTTTGAAATAAACGGATACACTATGTTGGGGCACTCACTGTACAGCCATACAGGGTCAACTCCTCATAATTCCCCAGTGCTGTCAAATCACAATGATAAGGTTCAAGAATTTTTTTCTGTTCACATCCTTAAAGGCAGCTGTTTAAGTTCAATAAACTTTGGGGTGGCTAGATGAATTTGATGGCTAGGAATGTAGAATTAATTAAGAGTGCTTTTATAAAAGCACTAAGAACTGACTTACTTAAAACAAATTTTGAAGGTATAGATATGGCTCAGTGGTTAAGAGGCCTGGCTCTTGTAGAAGACCTGGGTTTGGTTCCCAGAACCCACATGGTGGCTAACAACCGTCCTTAACTTCAGTTGCAGGGGGATGGATGCCCTCTTCTGACCTTTGCAGGCATTGCATGACATGGGTGCACGTACATACTTACACACATAAAAAAAATATATAAAATAGTTAAAATTTAAAAATAAACAAAAATTTACCTATTCAACTAGGTAATACATTTTTATGTTTCTCAATTCAAAAGGTACAAATTCAAAAGGATATGTAGTAACAGGTTGCTTACCTCTGGTCTCCAGATCCCTTCTATGTGTTCATAACTATTTTTACAAAAACATTTCATAAGTTCTGCCAATAAAGCATCATCCATCCAAGTGATGCAAGCTCTGCACTGAACTCTAACCTTTCCCCGGGATTCAAAACTACAATGCAAGGAATAGACTTTATTCAAGACAGTCAAGGCAGAACATAGTTACCAGCAGTGTGCTGAGTAAAACACAGTGTCTAGTTAAAAACTCTCGCATTTCATGGGAATTTTCCTGGTTTTACTCTTTGTTCTGCCCAAGGATGTCACATTTAGAGACCTGCGATCACAAATTTTAAGAAAGAAAATAACATTTTTAATTTGAAGGAAAAAGAATTACCTAAATGTTGGTTTCTGTCTGACTTGGTTCCTGTTTGGATTTTAATTTGAAGGAAAAAGAATTAGCTAAATGTTGGTTTCTATCTGACTTGGTTCCTGTTTGGATGATAAAACAGGTTATTCCTAAAATCCACATTGGTGCACCCAGTGGGGCGGGTTTCTTTGTTTCTGCATCTACCACAGAGCCACAGGCCTCATCTTCCTAATTCCCCTCATATCCACCTGATGGTCATGGGTTTAAACATTAAGAATAAAGTTTGTTACCTTTTTAGAGAAACTACCTTGGGAAGGGGTCTATTTTTTATCAAATGTATGTGTGTGAGTGTGTGTGTGTGTGTGTGTGTGTGTGTGTGAAAAAGAGAGAGAGAGAGAGAGAGAGAGAGAGAGAGAGAGAGAGAGAGAATATATATATAATGATAGCAGTGAAAAATGGGTTCGCAATGCCAAAAGTCTTCATTAAAAAAATCCCATGCCCAGGCGTGGTGGCACATACCTCTAATCCCAGCACTTAGGAGGCAGAGGCAGGTTGATCTCTGTGAGAACCAGACTCTACATAGTTGAGTTCCAGGCCATCTGGGGCTATAGGGAGACCCTGTCTCAAAAACAAACAAACAAACAAAAAAAGTCCCATGCCTTGAAGAGCACCCTGAGACTTATCTCAGGTGACCACAGACTGCTTTCCAAGCATGTTGTCACTTCATTACATAACTAAATATGTACAAATTCAAGTGATGCCCTTGTTCTTTAATGATGTTTACTTATGTTGCTGTGTGCATGTTAGTTCTACTTTCCAAGACTCTAACAAAACTAAAATCTTTTAATTTACTTTTATATAATTTAGAAATATGATAAAAACCAGAAGTCTTTGCAAAGTTCAAAAGCTTATCAAGTAAGCAGTTTTTCTTTTTTCTTTTTGGTCTTTTTGAGACAGGGTCTCCCTGGAGCCCCAGCTGTCCTGGAACTCACTATGTAGACCAGGCTGAGCAGTTCTTTTTGTTTGTTTGTTTTTTATTATTTTTATTTTATGTGTATGCGTGTATTGCCTGCATGTAGGTAAGTGCACTTGTGCTGTGCAATGCCTGCAGAGGACAGAAGAGGGTGTCAGATCCCTTGGAACTGGAGTTACAGACAGTTGTTAGCTGCCATGTGGGTGCTGGGATTTGAACCCGGGTCTTCTGCAAGAACAGTCGGTGTTCTTAACCGCTAAGCCATCTCTCCAGCCCTGAGTTTTTCTTTTTAAAGCGACAAGTAAATACGTTTCATGAAATAAGACCAAGGTGCTTGGTTTCTTTATTGTGCTTATATTTTTTGTGTAGTTTACAAAGTATTGCTTGTGTGACAAGAGGGAAAGATCTTAGGTAAATATTTAGGTGATCTACTCTAAATACAAAGTTATGTTCTATAATTAGACTCCCCACCAGGCAATGGAATGCTCTTGAGAAGCTGCTTTACAAGGAGAGATTGGGTACAACGAGCAGATGTCTGTCAGATGAGCTGGAAAACTGTGCTATCTTAATAGATCTAAAACTCACTGAAAATACACATTTTACATTTTACACTTTAAAAGGCATTGCCAATGTATAAATTCCAAAATCTGGAACATACATGTGGATTTTTGAATTCTGAAAATATTTTTGTACCTGAAAACATGTTTATATATGCTTTAAAATGTACAATTTAGGGGCTGGAAAGATAGGTGATTGATAAAGTGATAAAGTTGCTTGTTGTACAAAGACAGTTCAATCCCCAGCACTGTTTTTTTTTTTTTTGCTTTTTTTCATATTTTGATTCTTTTTTTAAATTTTTTTAAATTTAATAACTAAACGATTAGAAGAAGTATTTTATTACATCTTTAACATATTCAGTAACACATTCCAGAGCAAGGATACTTCTCTTTCAAAAGTGGCTGTAAAATTTTAAGTTCACAGTTGGGACAGAGTCTCCCTATAGATACAACTGGCCTAGAATTCACTATGTAGATGATTTAAAAAAAAATCTCCATTTCATTTTAGAATATGTTGTTCCTTGCAGAAAGACTCATTCTTTTTGCTACTAACACTGAGATGTTTGAGCATGCATCTCTAATCTGTATGTATCTGATTATTACTAGTCATAATCAGTTGCACTTGGATCCTTGGCGCCTGTGTACGTCTATAACGTCATTGGGTAGATTTCAATGGTAATGTTTATCACCTCTACTAATTAACATGATGAAAATTTTCCCCTCAAATGTAATACATTTTTTTTAGTTTGTTGATTTGTGTGTGTGTGTGTGTGCACGTATGATCATGAAATTGGCCCTTGGAATCATGTTCTGTTTCTATATTGCACATGGAAAATGATAAATTTGTAATTGTTTGCATGTGGAATAGGCTAAATTTCACATGAAACATTGTATTTAGATCCTAACTTGCACTTTTATACACACAGAAAGAAAAGAACATTCCATGGCTACATAAACACTAACATGTTAATTTTCAGATCTTTACCTCCTCCTTTCCCTCCACTAACCCAACCTCCCCTAAAAAAGAGAAACAGTTTCTTTTAACATTAAAAAAATTTTTCATAGATAGAAAAAGTTTCTGCCAGCATGGTGGCACACACCTTTAGTCCCAGCACTCGGGAGGCAGAGGCAGGCGGATCTCTGTGAGTTCAAAGGCAGCCTGGGCTATTTTGTGAGTTTTAGGACAGCTGGGGGTATAGGGGGACCCTGGCTCAAAAAAAAAAAAAAAGACAAAAAAAGTTTCTGATACATTCAGTTACACACACTAACTGTATAATATGGTCTGAAGTCAAGGATTTCCCATAACATTTTTCCCCTTTACTTATTACAATTCCCTCCTTCATCCTTAAGACAGGACAACTAAGGTTCAACAGTCTGTTCTCCTAAAATTTGCTATACTTTTACAGAATTCATTACTCCATCACTGTTTCAATTTCTGCACTTAATTATGGAGAATATGAAAAAGAAAAACTAAAATGAAGATAATATACTTTTAACAGTTTCTTTTCTAATTCCATTTAGTTATTGGGATCACATGTAGAGCTTTATTCTTTATTTTAAAATATAATATATAAAGAGACTTAATAGTCCCATGCATTTTCTGCATATTGATATCTGTGTTTTGATTCATTTAGACAAATATAGCAAGACACATTTATAAGGGTATATACCTTCCTCATTCAACCAGAAAATGTAAACCTTATCTACTTAGAAAAGTAGATAAGTTAATAAAATTCTTAATTTCAGATTTATGATGTGATTTCCTGTAAAATTTCTTTAAAATTTGAGGTTTCCTGAAATGATTTTAATGGATGTGGGAAGTACAAACATTTCTGCTCCAGGAAATGTTACACAGATAAAATATTTTAACCATTTAGCAGTTAATACCAAAAACAATAGTTCTGGTAAAAAGTTGGTCCTTAGCCAGGTATGATGGTGCACGCCTTTAATCCCAGCACTTGAGAGGCAGAAGCAGGTGGATCTTTGTGAGTTCAAGGCCAGCCTGGTCTACATAGTGAGTTCCAGGACAGCTGGGGCTACAAGGAGACCCTGTCTCAAAAAAAACCAAAAAAAAAAAAAAAAAAAGGTTGGTCCTTTTCATTATTTGGAATATATTTTATTTGCTCTTGAAAAAAGTCTTGGTACCAAGATTTAGGAGCCATATCCTTACAGACTAGAAGTCTGTTTAAACACAGGGGGTGATCTTATAGGTCAGTTTAGCCAGAGACAGCCCAGTGGGAGCCTATGATATAGAATGTTCATGAAATAATTGCAGTACTTTTATTAGGCTTGAAGTAGGTAGGCTAGGCTTCAAAATACACTCTCCACAGGAAATAAGAACCCTCAAAGGGTGACATATGTAAGTCATCTATTCTTTGTTAATTCAACTACCTCCCCAGAAATAAACGTGTGAGAAGACCATGTTCGGGAAGATTTTATTGGCAGTAACTAATTTCTTGCTTTCTGATAGCTGAGCCCCACATTTTCAAATGTAGTTAAGTAACAAAAGGGGTGGTGGCCTAATTCTTCCCTCCCATTAATGATCAGCTATCTATTTAAAGAATATTCAGGTAGGCAGAGTGAACTGGGGTATGTAAGGACAAAGTGTAAGCAAAGTCAACTTAATTTTTAAAAATATGGTCCTTTTTACTAACTCATTACAATTCTCAATTTAACCACTGAGGGCCTGCTCAAAGCGTACATTTTCTATAGCTGGAATGACAGGATCCTTGGTAGTACCAGGTAATGCTTTTGCTTGTCAGGGCATGGAACTGTTTGGTTGAGAAGGCATTAGTTTCCCAGGTACAGGTTGTGTAGTGATTAATTTTGTGCCCTTTTCTTAATAAGCAACACCAGGAACATCAGAAGAAAGACTGATTTTTATAGTGAAGCAATTGGGAGTTTGTTAACTGCCTTCTGAAAATCAGTGTGGAAGTAAGTAGTGTTGAAGGGGTCACTGCATGTTGTTTCTTTAACTGTCTTTGTCAATCAGCCATAGCAACTGCCAGAAACACGGGAATTAGGGTATGTTTTACAAATTCGTGTGTGGGACTGGCTCTACTCAAAGTTCAGGCTTAACTGTTTGGTGGCAAACTTCAGTGCTCTGTGTAGAGTAGCATAATCCTACAGTACTGGCTGCAGCTTACAAGAGGCTTTGGAAAAGGTGGGACCCCACAAGAGGCCAGAGAGGGCCATTCAGGACCCCATTCAAATTGGGGATACGAAAACAATGAGAGAGTCTTAGACCTGTCTCTTGAGGTAAATGGACTGGGTTGCTCAGGTCTAAGAGTTTGGCATAATAAACCAGGAACTGGGATCTAGAGGTTTCCAAGTTATAGAATATTTTTAAAGGCTCTTACCATGCCAGGCAAGACTCTCAAAGGGGGTTAGGTTGAGCACCCAGGTGCATTCTTCAGAGGAATCCCATTCTCTAAAGCTATCGTTTAGGTAGATCATCTCCCCACCACCACCCCCTCCGCCTCCTCCTTCACTTTCTGATTCTTAAGCTATCAGGAGAGGCAATTCTGGACCCATTAAAATAAAATAATAGGGAGCCAGGAAAAAAGTCAGAATTTAAGGCAGAACACAGTTGTATAATACTGGGAAATAAAAATAAAAATGAAAAAAAATCTCTTCACTAGGGTTATTTGTCTCTTAGTCCATCACACGTACAAGGCATGCTTCAGGACCACGCCTTGACATTCTTCACGGTTATGCTGTGTATTCTCCACTTACAAAGAAGATATTAGTCCTCAGAACCAGTTCAGCATATGAAAGTGTTAATCACCACTGGCCCAGGTCAGAGAATTTCCTTCAAATCTAGTTACTCAAAAAGAGGAGAGTCCTCATCTAAGCAAACTAATTCTTTTTTTTTTTTCATTTTATGTGTATGAGTGTATTGCCTGCATGTATGTGAGTGCACCCATGTCGTGCAATGCCTCAGAGGTCAGAAGAGGGCTTCGGATTCCCCTGGAACTGGAGTCAAGGACGGTTCGTAGCCACTATGTGGGTGCTGGGAATTGAACCCGGGTCCTCTGCAAGAGCAGTCAGTGCTCTTAACCACTGAGCCATCTCTCCAGCCCTTGCAAACTGATTCTCATAGTATAGTTTCCATGGGTAGTGATGCTATCTTTACTTTGTGCAAGTGACTTTGTTGGCAGTTGATAGCTATCTACTTGGCAATACAAAGAAACTTGGCAGCTGCCGTGTCCGCTGGTGGAGCTACTTTTGTGCAGTGGTTTTGATCTAGTATTATCAATGATCTCAGGTGTTCAAAGATCCGAAGTTTCCCATAGGTGGTGTAATACTGTTGGAAACTGATGACTCGGCAGTTGGCCTATCTGGAAAGGTAGCCTCAACTGTTTAAAAAAGACAGCAGCTTCATGGGCTAGACATGTAATTCAGTGCTAGAAAGCTTGCCTAGCATGAACAAGGCCCTGGATCTGAGCCCCCAGCCTGGACTCATGCTTGGGGGTTGCAGCCCACTACACCAAGCACCACAAAGCCCAATCTCTCATGTCCCATGGCAGCTCCACACCAGCTCCTTGACAACACCACTTCTGGTCAAGCCCTTGAGTGCCCACTTTAAAAAAAAAAATCAAATAAGAGGCTGGCAAGATGGCTCAGCAGGCAAAAGTACTTGCTGCCAAGCCTGACCACCTGAGTTCTAGCCCTGGGATCCATATGGCAAAAGGAGAGAACCAACTTCTGCAAGTTGTCCTCTGACCTCCACACACACCGTGTGTATTCACAAGCACGCATGCACACACACACACACACACACACACACACTCACACACACTCACACACATAAATAAATAAATGTAATAAGAAAATTTTGAGTTCTATACAATCATAAATTTGTAAAAGAAAGATAAATTAATAAAATGAAATCTTTTTTTTTTACAAATAAAAACACCTATAAAAAATTGGCTATTTTTCTAAAAGGCAAAGAAATTACGGAAAAAATATGGTTGGCCCAGAATTCAAATTTAACCTTTCTAGGACGGTTACTGTACAGATGAGGTGTTTACAAACATTTCTCAACTGGAATTCATTCAGTTAACAAAACCAGACACAACTTCCCCTTGTGGTTTACTGTGGAATAGGTGGGGCAAGTTTCAGCTTATTCCGTTTCTGCTTATTTCCAAAATAGCAAATATAAAAAGCAGAACTTGAGGGAAAATGACGGCAGAATTCAAATTTGCATCATCCTCGTTTGTTCTGTTTGTTTTTTAAGAAAAAGAGTTCTACTTTATTGCTAATGTACACATTATTTTTGGTAAGTTTGCGTCTATTTTTTGAAGACAAAAAATGAAATGATGATCTTGAAATAGAATGAAATTTTTTTTTTGCTATTGAAAAATAAGATATGGGGCTGGAGAGATGGCTCAGCAGTTAAGAATATTGGCTGCTCTTGCAAACAACCAGGGTTCGGTTCCCAGAACCCACATGGCAGCTAACAACCATCCTAAGTCCAGTTCCGACGCCCTCTTCTAACCTCCGTGGGCACTACACAACACAGGTGCACTTACACACGTGCAGGCAATATACTCCTACACATAAAGTTAAAATAATAAATAAAAAAGACAAAAGTAAGATATTTCAGCGTGCTCCCCACCAGGGTGTCTTGGTTTGTTTCCAAAGGGAAAAATTTAACCTTATATGTGTCCAACAATTATTTGTGTATGGTGTTGTTTATCTAACAGCATCTGACTTTCTTGAGTGTACCAGCCAGCCTGTCTTGACTCAGAGTCCTTGAGGAGGAATATCAGGTATGGAGGCAGAGCAATCCTCCTCTTACAGAGAAATGCCTTGTTTTATAGACAGGTGCTTCATTTGCATGGTTACAGTTAGCAAGTTACTATTCATTGGCATCTATCTACTCCCTCTTCATACAACCAAGTGCAGGAGTCTCTCTAACCACTGTACCTCATAAGAATTCAAACTACCACACAAAACACAAGGCTTATACCATAATAGACAGGTAGTTAAAATAGCATAATGAAAACTATTTTATTGATACATTATAAAAGAAATGGGCCTGGAATATTATCAATATTCATGATTTACTTACAGGGTAAAACGTTCCAGATGTTGAGTGATGTAGAAGGGCTCAGCCCACTGTGGGTGGTGCCACCCCTGGGCAGGTAGGCCTGTGTTGTATAAGAAAGCAGGTTGAGGACAGGTCAGGTTAGCAAGCCACCAGTAAGCAGCGTTCCTCCATGGCCTGTGCTTCAGCTCCTGTTTCCAGGTTCCTTCCCTGAGTTCGTTCCTTGGGCTCCCTAAGTGATGAACTGTGACCCAGGAGATGTAAGCCAATAAACCCTTTCAACCCCAAGGCAAACTAGAACAGAAGCGGACACTGATCTTGAACTTCTGATCCTCCTGTTTTGGCCTCCCAACCTCTCAAGTGCTATGATTGCACTCGAGGCAAGGTGTAACAGGCTGGAGTGCCTGAGGGGCACATGAAGGATCTGGAGACCAGGTAATCCTGAAAAAGTCCCCAGTGATGGGCATTCTGGGGCAGTGCTGCGTGCTTGCATCTGCCCACCCGACACAGACCACTGAAGAAAACTGTTGGTGTTCTTAATCCACTAAAGAGGAGGTGAGGCCAGTTTTACTTTTTGTTAGACACTGAAAGGCATCCATCTGTGACGTCCACCTCCTTCCTGTATTAGCTTCACTTCACTTCCTCTTCTCTCAGCTTTGTGTGTGAGGATGAAAACGTGCTCCGTGTTTTAGTTCGGGTTTGGCTTGATTACATTATTGTTAACAGGCTTAACATTTTCTCCAAACTTTCCATCTGTATTTCAAATGTCTCAGTTCTACCCCCTTTCCTATTTGGATTACAAAACAAAAGGAAAACAGGGGACTTTTAAAAACACCTGTACGTAGTATTTCCCTACTTAAATAGCATAAGTAAACATAAGTGGTTACTGCATTATAAAAAGGCAACCCAAACCAACAAGCGCACGCAGCAGTAAGAAAGATGTCCCTCCATCCCTCAGGTCTGTTATCTCCAAAGTTAACCTCAGAAAGAATTTTTTTTTAATTTCCCAAAGGTTTAGGACCCGCAGTATCTCCACATGAAAGCACAACCCAATGGAGGACTGTTTTCCTTCACTAACGCCTCTGAAGGCAAAGCATGGTACAAACTGCCAGCACTCCTCTCGTGTATCTTGGCCTGTGGACTGTCTCAGAGCCCTGCAGTCTCCCTTCCCTCAAAGCCAGGGTTCTGTCATTTCCTCAGGAAGGGAGCAAAACATCACAGAAGGAAACTGGCTTTATTTTCGCCCTTTGCATGCACATATGTCACAGGAGCTAGACGTGCTCAGAGTACCCTCTGAAACAGGTGACCCTCACCAACTTCAGGCAGTGAGTATGTCCCTTTTCTCCCTTAGAAAGAAGACATGCCTACTCTTTATGTGTTCAATGCTGTAACCCAAGAGACCATGCCAATAATGGAGAACACATCTATTCTTGGAAAAAAGGTGTCTGATCTGAGAACACTGGTAACTCTTAGATGTGGCTTCCCCATCAGTGTCTACTGCCTGCGGACACCGAAGGGACTGGAGATGTACGACTGCAATACCCTTGCGGACTACCAGACTGATATCGGTACTGCTCACCACACTTCATGTCAGCTGCCACTCAGCACCAGGCCTCCTTGACACCAGGTTTTGCAGCTTTTCAAGAGAAAATAGAAACCTAGATTTTTAAAATTCAGATTTTAGTCTTATTTACCTTAAAATAGTTGATACATTACATGGTATAAATACCAGAGGTATAAAAAGATGTATAGTGCTAAGTTTTCCTGGCTTCTTGGTCCTCCAAACATTCAGTCCCCTCCCTCACTATAGGCAACCATGATTACTATCAAGATTTAAAATCAGGGCTGGAGAGATGGCTCAGCAGTTAAGAACACTGGCTGTTTTTGCTGAAGACCCGGGTTTGGATCCTAGCATCCACATGGCAGCTAACAACTGTCTGTAACTCCAGTCCCAGGGGATCTGATGGTTTCTTCTGTCCTCGTCATGCATTACAAGACACAGGTTCACTTACATACAGGCAGGCAATATATGCATACACATAAAATAAAAATAATAATTTAAAAAACTTTTAAAGATTTAAATTCAAAGGTGCTTACAAATTAAGCCACAACAAATAAAGTTGTTGTTAAACTAGAATCTCTATAAAAGCACCAAAGGTATAAATTATCAATAGTTTGCTTTAGTGTCTGGGTCTGTAGATTAGAAATAAGGAAGATCTTGTAGCTCGGCTTATTCTTTCTTTAAAATATTTTATTTATTTTTATTTTGTGTGTATGAGTGCTTTACCTGCATGATGTAAATATACCACATCTGTGTAATGCCTGCAGAAACATCAGATTCTGGAACTGAAGTTGTGGTTGTTAGCTGCCATGGGTGTGGGAACTGAACCCAGGTCCTCTGCAAGAGCAGTCAGTGTTCTTAACCATTCAACCACCTTTCCTGCTCCTCCTGTTCCTCCTCCTCCTCTTCCTCCTCCTGTTCCTCCTCCTCTTCCTCCTCCTCCTCCTCCTGTTCCTCCTGTTCCTCCTCCTCCTCCCCCTCCTCCTGCTCCTCATCCTGCTCCTCATCCTTGTCATCATAGTCCTCCTCCCTTCTTCTTCTCCTTCTTCTTCTCCTCCTCCTCCTCCTTCTTCTTCTTCTCCTCCTTCTTCTTTTTTTGAGACAGGGTTTCCCTGTAGCCCCAGCTGGCCTAGAACTCACTATGTAGATCAGGCTGGCCTTGAACTCACAGAGATCCGCCTGCTTCTGCCTCCTGAGTCCTGGGATTAAAGGCGTGCCACCATGCCCAACCCAGTCCCTCTTTGTTTATCTAAAAAATATCCATATATGTGTCTGTGTCTGCATGTGTATATGTGCACATGTGTCTAGCTGCCCATAGAGGCCAAAAGAGGGCTAGAGTTACAAGTGGTTGGGAGTCACCTGATGTGGGTTCTAGGGACTGAACTCCAGACCTCTGCAAGAACAGCAAAAGCTCTTAATCACTGAGCTGTCTCTCCACCATACTTACTCTTTTTTTAAAAAAAAATTATCATTTTTATTTTATGTATATGAATGTACTGCCTGCATGTATGTAAGTGCACCCATGTCCTGCAATGCCCACAGAGATGGGAAGAGGGTGTCGGATCCCCTGGAACTGGAGTTACCGATGGTTGTTGGCCGTGATCTGGGTGCTGGGATTTGAACCCTGGTTCTCTGCAAGAACAGCCAGTGCTCTTAACTGCTAGGCCATATCTCCAGCCCCATTTGCTAATATCCTCAGGATGGATGGGCAAAACTAAGATGATTTCATCTTTTTTCTTGCAACATATATTTCAAGCATATGCAGAAGTTTAAGTACATACTCTTATTTTTTAATGCAGGTAGCATTAAAATTAAATATATATTATTCTGAAATTTGCTTTGTATCATCTCATTTTAAAATGTTTCCAGTTAAAACAAAACAGTGTGATATTGATACTGTAAGGATGAAAAGCTGCCTTAGCTGACTTAAATTTACTCAATAGAGAGATTACAGTCTCTCTTTAAATACTGTACACACCCAGCTCATATGTGCTATGGTTAACCAATAAGACAAGATAGAAGGTTTATTTTAACTGTACTAGAAAATGACTCAGACCTTAGAGAGATTATCACTTAAGGTGAATGATTCCTTGCTGGAAATGAGTACATCTCGTAGAGACTGTGTGTTGTATTTGTTGCAATGGAATTCGAGTTATCCTAACATATCTACAGGGCTCTGTAGGCATGCTTTAGGAAAACAGTTTTGTTTTCTATAACTGCAGAGTCTGCACTTACTGATACTTCTCCAAGATCTTGCACTTGCTCAGCAATAATTTTTCATGTTGTTTGAAAATGAAGGTCTAAAAAAACTCTGATATCAATTATTGTCCCCATCTTTTATCAGAACTGAAGCTGTAGGCTCACAAAGGAAATAAGGGAATGGGACTTCAGCTTCCTACTGTTCCTGGAACATAACTAGCATTCCCAAAGCAGTCAGCCCACCTTCTTTTAACCAGGGAGTGAAGGAATCCTTGTCCAGCATTCTCTTCTGGACTCTACCTCTCCACTCTCCACTCTCCACTCAATGAACCACCTCTGTTGCTATCTGGAGTTGAACTTTGGATCATTCTCTAAAAGCCATGAAACATAAAAAAGTTCAATCCAGGTTGAAAACCAAAGATATAAGCATCTCAATTAGTCACTGTACATACCAGCAGCTCATTCAGAAGTATATAAAACTGCTTCTATACCCTAGGCATTTACACTAACGTGGTAGGAAAGAGGCATGGGTATACCTTCAGTTATCCACTAAGCCAGGTGGATGGAGGCTGAAGGGCTCACAAGAAGGCATTCAGGAGAATGTGAGCATGTGAACAGAGCACACAAAGATGCAGACTGGGGATCATCTGAGAGGAAGAATGGAAGACATTTCAGGCTTCCAGCCCAGGAGGAGAATTCAAGCCACAGTCCTATAAAGATGGAGTGACTGAAAATAAGAGATTTCTCTAAAGAATGAAGGAACTTTACTGACAACACAGTGAAACACAGTGAGCACAGACTGAGGAAGCCCCCAGTGACGTGACAGAGTGCAGGCTCCTCCATTCCGAAACAGCACACATGTCATAAGTGTACGTGCTACGAAAAATGGGTAGGAATGAGGAGAACCTGGAAATAGGACTATCTGCTAACTGACAGTGTTAATGATCCCCATATTGACTCATTGTATAGTAATGAGACAGACAGAAACATGAGAAAAAGAAACAGAAAGTCATGCTGAATTTAAGAAAAAAACTTTAAAAGGAAGTAATTCATTCTACAAACCTAGCTTTACTCTGATACCAATACTAGTTAAAGTTGCAACAACAACAAAAAAATTATACTTCAATTTCCCTGAAGAATGAGGGCATAAAAATTCCCAGTAAAATTATTGTAAACAGAGCCAGGCATGGTGGCACATGCCTCTAATCCCAACACTCAGGAGGCAGAGGCAGGTGGATCTCTGTGAGCTCAAGGCCAGCCTGGTCTATATAGAGAGTTCCAAGCCAGCTGGGGTTAAAGGGAGACCCTGTCTCAAAAAGACCAAATAAATAATAAATAAATAAATAAATAAATAAATAAATAAATAAAGGAACTGGGAAGATAGTTTAGCCCCTAAAGTATTTGCTATGCTAGCACAAGGTCTTGAATCTGAATCCCCAGCATCCATGTAAAAGCCAGGTACAGTAGCATATATCTACAACCCCAGTACTAGAGAGGCGTAGACAGGCAGATCCCTGGAGCTTGCTGTTCAAACTTCCTGAATCAGTGAGCTACAGGTTCACTAAGAGACCCTGCCTCAAAAAAATAAGTGGAGGGCAGCTGAGGAAGACACCTGAGATCAACCTCTGGCCTCCACTTACATAAACATGAATGCATACTTGCATGCACATGTGCACACACACAAACACACAGGCACACATAAACACATACACAAGGGCACATTAAGGGACTGGAGACATGGCTCAGCAATTAAGAGCACATATTGCTCTTGCAGGGGATCCAAGCTCAATTCCTAGCACCCAATGTCCCAGCACCCAGCACTCACAACTGCCTATAACTCCAGCTCCAGGGGATCCAGTACCCTCTCCTGTTCTCGATGGGCACCCACACTCACATGTGCACATACCTCCACACAGACACACACATATATATTCATTAAAGCTAAAATAAATCTTTTTTTAAGACACATTAAAAAGATCATACATTATTTTCAAGTTGATTTCATTCTAGGGATGCAAGGATGGTTCAACATAAACAACTCAATAAATGTAAAATAACACATAAATAAACACGGACAGAAATCACATGCTCATCTCAATAGACACAGAAAAGTCCTTTGACAAAGTTAACATCCCTCCTGATAAAAGCCCTGAAGAAATGTACCTCAACATAAAAAAGGTTATGTAAGACAAACCTATAGCCAATATCATACTAAATGGGGACAAACTGGAAATCATTTTGTGCTGGATAGATTTTCTTGTCAACTTGTCAACTCTGTCAAACTCTGTTGTATTGTACAAGAAAACAGGTTGAGCAGAGGCCAGGGGAGCAAGCCAGTAAGCAGTGCTCCTCCATGGCCTGTATTTCAGCTCCTGCCTCCAGGTTTGTGCCCTGAGTTCCTACCTTGGGCCCCCCACCTCTTTTTTTTTTTGCATTAAGACATTTATTCTGTCCCAGGACACTGTTCCAGAGGGAGGGAGTGGCTGTGCAGCCCTGGATCCCTCCCAGCAGGTCTCGTCCTTGGAGCTTGGCTCACTGAGTCCCTGTGGCCCAAGTCTAGCTGTGTTCACCCAAGTTCTGAGCGATGGCAAGCACTTTGGAGTATTCGCCGTCCCTCCGGCGCAGGCTGCTGGGGATAGGTATTTTAATTCGGGTCCCTACAGGGTTCCCATTGTCCTCAATGAGGACCACGTTGTTGGAGTTAAACCTGGGGGTCATTTGGGGGCCAGACATGTGATGCCCCACGATGAGAGCCTTCTTCTTCTGACCCTTGATAGCCAGCAGGATCTGGTCGCCCACCTTGCCCAGCCCATTCTTGTTATAGACATGGATGCACCGAGGAGGACAACGGTATGGAGTGTTCCCCAGGGCACTGTTGTCCACCACACACATCCGAGATGTAAGTCAAATAAACCCTTTCCTCCCAAAGTTGGTATTGGTCAGAGTGTTTTGTCACAGCAATTGAAGGCAAACTAGAGCAGAAATTGGTATCAGGATCATGGGGTTTTCCTGTGACAGACCTGACCCAGTTGTTTTTGGGAGGATTATAGGAGTGTTTAGAACTTTGGGCTGGAAACAAAGCCATTGAGTGCTTTGAGTTTGGTGAGCTGTTGCTGTGGATCTTAAAACAGTTATGTTGAAAGGGGTGTAGACAATGGAGGTCTGGCTTGTGAGGCTTCAAAGGGAGGTGGAGACTATGAGGGCCGTTTGTATGATACTTTGGACTGAGAACCTGTGGTTTCTGGTTAGCTGGGGCTGAAGAAGCTTAGGTGTGCCTGATTCTTACCTTTTGAAATAAGACAGTACTTTTTTGGATTTTACGGGAGTTCACAGTTAAGAGACTTTTAAAAGGGGCTTTGAACTCTTAAAGTGTTTGGATTTTGAAGAACTGTGGAACTTTTAAAGTTGTACTGTCTTATGTTGTAACATTAATGTTAATATCATATCTTGGTAGCAAGAAATGGAACGTTTGTGGTTTACTAGTGATGTATTTGTATCAAGTTGACAAGGGATCAATTGTGCTGAATAGTTTTTTTGTCAACTTGACACACCTAGATTGAAGGAGTCTCAACTGGGGAATTTCCTCCATTTGGACTGGCCTGTGGCCATGTCTGTGGAGTATTTTCTTGATTGTTGAGTGATGTGGGAGGGCTCAGCCCACTTTGAGTGGTCCTGCCCCTGGACATGTGGTTCCGTACTGTATTAGAAGGCAGGTTGAGCACGGGCCAGGGGAACAAGCCAGTAAGCAACATTCCTCCGTGGTCTGTGCTTCAACTCCTGCCTCCAGCTTCCGGCCCTGAGTTCCTTCCTTGGGCTCCCTCAGTGATAAACTGTGACCTGGGAGATATAAACCAAATAAATCCTTTCCTCCGCAAGTTGGTATTGGTCAGAGTATTTTGTAACAGTAGTTGAAGGCAACACATTTCTTCCAAAGTCAGGAACAGGACAAAGGTGCCCACTTTCCGCTCATTCAATATGTGCCTGAAGTCTTCACCAGTTCAGTAAGAGAAAGAAAATGGACAAAAATAGGGAAAAAAAGAAATCATAGTATCCGTATTTGCTGATGACATAATCTTATACTTAAGACTCTAAAGACCCCACCAGAAAACTCTTCAACTTGATATAAACTTGCAACAAAATAGCAAGATACAAAGTCAATATACAAAAACCAGTAGCCTTCATATATTTGACTAATGAACTCACTGACAAGGAAATCAGAAAAAAATACCATTCCCCATAGCTTTTACAAAATTAAACTGGGGGGCTGGAGAGATGGCTCAGTGGTTGTTCTTGCAGAAGACCCAGGTTCAAATCACAGCACCCACATGGCAGCTAACAACTGTCTGAAACTCCAGTCCCAGGGGATCCAACAGCCTCTTCTGACCTCCACAGGCATTGCATGATACAGGTGCACTTACTTACATGCATATACATAAAATTTTTTAAAAATACTATTTTTTAAAAAAGTTTAAAAAAAATTAGACTACCAGAAAAACAACACAAAAGGAAAAAAAAAAGTAAACTACCTAGTAATAAATCTAACCAAGGAGGTGAAAGCCCTCTGCAATGAAAACTTTAGGGCCCTAAAAAGAAAGTAGATACTAGAAGATAGAAAGACCATCCATGGTCATGGATCAGCAAAGTGATATTATGAAATGGTTATATTATCAAAAGTGATCTACAGATTCAACACAATCTCCATCAAAATTCCAATGCTATTCTTCAAAGAACCAGAAAAAAAAGCCTAAAATTCATATGGAAGCACAAAAGACCCACAATAGCCAAAATAATCTTAAGCAGAAAAGATGGGAGATGAAAACTACCTAGGTAGCTATCAACAGATGAATGAATAAAAAAATGTGTAGGGGCCAGGTATGATGGTATAGACCTTTAATCTAGCACTTGGGAGGCAGAGGCAGATGGATCTCTGTGAGTTCCAGGCCAGCCAAGGTTACATAGTGAGATCCTATCTTAAAAAGGAAGGAACAAAAAAAGTATACTTTTAACGAGGGGAGGAAAGGGGGAGGGGAGAAGCGAGCTCTGTAAATTCCAGGCCAGCCTGCTCTACATAGTGAGTGCTTCCTGGCCAGCCAGGGCTACATAGAAAAAAAAAAAAAAAAAAAAAAGAAAAAGAAAAAGAAAGAAAAGAAAAGAAAAGAAAAAAAGGAAGGAAGGAACTGTGTCAAATATGTGGAAATGATGTTTTCAATATGGACATGCTCTGGACAGATGACCTTTATTTAACCTTGTAACCAGAAAGTTAATCTGGCTGCCTCCCTATGCGTTGTTGGACAGGGAGTCCCCGGAGACCCTCAAGACATTATAGGCAATGCCACTGCTGCTTGTTTGTCCACCAGAGCTAGATTTTAAGACCCTATTGCTGAAAGCCTCACATGTTCTGGTCACAGGACATTGAAAAATCAAGCTGAAACTGAGCTAGAAGCTTCTTCTCTGCTGTCGATCCCTCATAGTGCCAGGTGCAATGCAGGATGCTGGGGGAGAATTGCCATCAATAGTATCAATCAGTTGTGGTCCCTGTGTGTTACACTACTGAATGACTAGGCAAGACGTGCCCATTGGTGCAACAATGGCATGTCTGTTATAGGGTTTACCAACCACTTTCTGATCAGATTTGAGGCCTGCACCACATGAGAGAATTTGTATCTGGCAGTATAAACCTGCTCAAAAGTCCGTGGCTGGAGAGGTCAAAGGCTACCACTGTTTTGCTGAATGGACATGAAATGCCCATCAAATTGCCTTCTAAATAATTATGTGTATGCCCATGGGTTAATGTCTCGGTCAGCTTTGGCCAGAGAAGCTTCTTTGTGCAGTGAGCAGCTCCTACTGCAGGGATCCCTAATTAGTCACCATAATGACAAGAAATGACTGTTGAATGCTCATCCATAAATAGGACATCTATATCACCCCCTCCAAGGTTCAGGGAGCAACGCAGAAGAGAAGGCAGAAAGAATGTAAAAGCCAGAGAACAGGGCAGAATATTGTGGAATGCTGACTTCTGGGTAGGACATGACCACTGTGTTCTTGAATGCTGAACATCTGTGATTATCTGCACAAGGCCTGTGCAATATAAACTCCATAAACATCCTGTCACGGAGAAGGAAGGTTGTGAGGCCCCACCTCTTTTCGAGGATCTATAGCTAGTTTATGGTTCCTGGGGGAAGAAAGAGACATTTTCTTAGTGATGTAATCATGGGGAATATGTCCATTTAAATAACCCCTCACTCATGCTCCTGTAAGCAACCCTAATGAAACTTACTGGGTCACTAATAATTACCTAAATATTTTTAATGGCATGAAAGTAGAAGAGTTAGGAAGAGGGGAGAGACAGTGGGAATTGATGGCAGACAAGAGAGCATATGATATAATCAAAATACATTGTACACATATATGAAAATGTCAGAGACACCCATTACTATTTATAATTAATATATCCTAGGAAAAGTATTGAGAAAAGAAATTGGGGAATAAAAATTTTTGGTGATAGAGCACTTAGTAACTAATTTATCAAAAATATATCAGGTTAAATATCTTAACATTGATAATTTTGTTTTTTGAAACTAAATGGTATGTCACAGAGATTTAACACACACACACACACACACACACACACACTTATGTACATTTCTCTGCTTATTATCCTGTCAACATTTTATGTATACCTATAAACTGGCAAACTGGCATTAATCCTTTCTGGAACAAGATACGCCTAACAAAAGAATAAATGAATGAAGACTTTCTTCCTTATGGCCTTATAGCAGTTAGCAGTTTTCATTGTAAATGCCTCACTCGTTTTTTAAAGTTTTTTTGTTTGGGATTTTTGGTTTTTTTTTTAATATTTTTTAATTTTATGTGTATGAGTATATGCCCACATGTATGTAAGTGCACCTATGTCATGCACCTATGTCATGACCGAGGAGGTCAGAAGAGAGTGTTGGATCCCCTGGAACTGGAGTCAGGATGGTTGTTAGCTGCTATGTGGGTTCTGGGAACTGAACCCATGTCTTCGACAAGAGCAGCCAGTGCTCTTAACCTCTGAGCCAGCTCTCCAGCCCCTATTGTATTTATTTTTTTAAGAAACCAACTTAGGGGTGGAGAGATGGGTCAGCAGTTAAAAGACACTGGCTGCCCTTGTAGAGGATCCAGGTTCAGTTCCCAGCACTCACATGGTGGCTAACAACCATCTGTAACTCCAGTTCCAGGGAATCCAGTGCTTTCTTCTGACCAAGACTTAAAGGTTAAGTGACCTCATTGAGGTCATACTGTCAGTTAAACAGTAATCATACCCACAATTGGGTTCTTTCCAACAGTTTTTACTGACAATGCTTTTACTGATGCCCTTTAAGTGCTGATCAATGTTTACTTCTCTTTTTTTTTCGTTTGGAAGCCCAAACCAAAGAAATGCTTTCCACAGGAAGAAAAGGCCCAAATTAGGTAGGCAGATGTTGAACTCCTCCATATGAATCAGGCATCCAGAGCCACACTGTCGCTCACCTCTGCTTTCTGCTGTGCTCTAGGTAATGGTGGAGCAGTTTGCAAGTGGAGATTAGTCAGGTGCAGGTTTGCAAAGCTCATATCATTTTGTATGTCTCCTTAAAAATGAAAAGAATCTAAAGTTAATGGATTAGAACACTCCCGTGGGTCTGAAGTTCAAGTCTTGGCTTTACTCTTTTCAGTGATAAATCGGGATGTTTTCTAGAGCAGCATCATTTTTCAAATAAATTTCTGTTTTCCAACAGATTTCCTTAGCTTATGGAGGAATTAAATTGTGCAACAAAGAAAGCATTATAGACCATAAAGAATGAATTGACTCCCCAGTAACTTGCTAACTTGTTAAGAGATTCTTTGGCTATTTAGAAGTTGAGCATTAAGAGAAAACTATC